GTGGCAAACAGAAACCTTAGGTGCCCGCGGGAAATAATGGTTTGTATAGCATAATGGAATCAGGTGGTAATTGTGGTGGAATATGAAATGGCCAAGGGTCCGTAGAAGAATATTTGAGCAGGAAGAGGAAACCACAAGTTCTAAAATGTGAGCAGACATGCACTTGTTTAAAAGGAAGTCCAGGATGTCAGTTCAGAACTGGGGCCCATCTAGGATTTCTGAGTAGCCTCAGCCGTTCTTAAAGGCCTGTGTTATTCCCAAGCTGCTGTGTAGGGAGGTTTGTGTCTGACTTCAAACCTTAGCCTCCTCCCATTTGTCTGGCAAAGTAAGTCATGCCAGGTGATTAATTCAGAAAACTTGGCCATTGGAGGTGTCCCTACCCATGCTCATGCTGGAGTATTTTACTTCCCAATCACAAACTGGGTCTCCACTAGTCCATAGTATGGTACCTGTGTCTCCTTGACACATTTTAAAAAAAATAGGAACTATCAGTATAAACACATGAGGATTTGTTTAATGTGATGGTTTTAATCGCAATGCAAATTTAAGTAATGTTTGTACAATAAATCCCAGCATTGGGACTGAGTAACAAAGTCACAACAGAGTGTTTGTCCTTCAACCATGCTCATTTGACCTCAGGAAATTCCTGCTCTCTCTTATGGGGTGGTAATACAGCTGCAGTGATGTGTGGACTCCAGTCAGTCTATGGCACATTCCTTAGCCACAGGAGCAACTGCTTCCTGTCAGTACTCTAGGAAGTGCTATGGCATGCAGATGTATCAGAGAGGGAAGGAACGGAGAATCGAACATAGAATTGACTCTTTTAATGGGACAACTACAGCAATGCCAAGGTAAGCTGCCTTTCAAAACGATGGTTTCATTAAAAAAAAATCCTCAAACCACAGAGATGGCTCAGCTGGCAAATGAGGGAACCACAAAGGGATAAGAAATGCTACTGCGCACCCGGTGTCCAGACTCACAGTGAGAAACAAATGTGACTCTACAGAGGTACAGCGTCTCAGAATCAGGGAGAGAAAACACGTTCTGTGTTCTCTGTGCTTAGGGGGGTGAAAGCAAAGTCAAAGGAAAACCAAATGTTTGTATTTCCCTGCTCTGAAGTCTTAGAGTTCCTGGGCTTCGTGAGCGCTGAGCGCCCCCTGCTGGCCCAGAGCTCCTCTGCAGGGAGGTTTTTGTCTGGGCTCATGCTGAAGTCCCCTCACTGTGTCTCTTGCACAGTAATATGTGGCTGTGTCCTCAGTGGTCACAGAGTTCAGCTGCAGGAAAAACTGGTTCTTGGATGTGTCTCTGGTGATGGAGATGCGGCTCTTGAGGGATGGGTTGTAGTAGGTGCCACCATTAACTGTGTTCCCCATCCACTCCAGCTTATTCCCTGGGAACTGCCTGATCCAGGTCCACCAGTAACCACTGGTGATGGAGTAACCAGTGACAGAGCAAGTGAGAGACAGCGACTGTGAGGGCTTCACCAGGCCAGGTCCTGACTCCTGAAGCTGGATCTGGGACAGGACACCTGCAGACAGGAAGAGTCAATTCTGTCAATCACATGTTGTCACATCCCCTCATGGACACATGTATGAAATGGTCACACTCACCAGGAAGGGCTGTCAATAGGTACAGAAGACCAAGCAGTCTCATCTTCTAGGCTACACCCCCTTTTCTCAGAGGTCAGCCTCCTGTGAGAGAGATGTGAGCTCCCACAGCTCAGGAGGGGATTTAACTTAGAGCTAGAAGTGGAATTTGCATGGGGGGAGTCAGCCTTGTCCTTATAAAAGAGGAGGGTGGATACCACTCCATTTCCTCATTACAACACAGCCATCACTGTGTCTGACTTCCTACAGTGTGAGTCTTGAGTAAGAGAGCATGGGGACTGCAGGGATCACAGGAAACACATATTTTTATAACCCCACCTCTGCTCCCTAGCCCACACCTCCAACAAATTCTTCTGCTCCTGTATATTTTTGTGCTTTTTCTCCATTCATTTGTTTCTTAACATATTATTATTTTATTATTTTTATTATTTTAACTGATTAATTAATGTTTTATATTCCAATCCAGCTTCTCCTCCCCCCACTCTGCTTGCTACTCCCACTCCCATATGCTCCTTGGAGAGTGTAAGGTCTCCCCTAGGAATCTACTAATTCTGTCCATCATCTCCTGGAGGCAGGACCAAGGTGCCTCCCCACCACCTGGCATCCCTGTGTCTAGGCTAGACAAGGTATCTCTCCATATAGAATGAGCTCCACTAAGTCAGTCTGTGCATTAGAGTTAGATCTCGGTCACACCTTGGCTCCATTGTCCTCCATGCTGGTTCTGACCTTCCTTGAAGGTTGGTTTCTGGTTGCTTACACTGAAACTGCACTGTCTGTCTTGATCAGTAACACATCCCTGAAACATCAGTGTTCACAGAGCTCAGCTACCGGGATAAATGGCTTTGTTTACTGGAATATGCAGACTGCATGTTTCAGAGATGTGATGTTGTGACAATATTACTACCAATGTCCTCCTCACAGCCAGGCTCCTCTGAGGTGTCAGTGAGGTCCAGCTCAGGAAGTTCCCTATATAATACAATGAGACAAATAGAGCAGGGTCTTTGCTGCCTTCATCAGGCTGTACCTGGGGCAGAGAAACACAATAAGTCTTCAGGTCATTTGTGCCCCCTGTATCCATGTATGCCACATTCAGATACAGGACTCAAGAGAATGAGGAGGCAGCATCTTGATTATCACAGATCAATTAACAACACTAAAATATATATTACACTGAGAAGGAAGTAGAAATCATCCAAATTTACACTGTAAGTCACATTGTTTCCTGTACTCTGGTTGGGGGAGGAAAGGACATTACTTTGACAAGAATCCTCAGGGATGGAGTTCCATGTCCTTAGACAGCTCTCTCTATACTCTCTCTCTCTCCCTCCCTCCTTCTCTCTCTCTGTCTGTCTGTCTCTCCTATTCTAGGTCCACTGTGGTACTATAAATCTTATGGCCAAAAGCCTCTTGAGCCCCACTACCATGTGTGAGCTTTACGCCAGCCGCCCGCCCGAGTTAGGGCCCAAATGAATACACAGAAACTTGTATTAAGTTCAAAGCTGCTTGGCCAATGACTAGGAATCCTCATCTTTTAGCTCAGTCTCAATTACCATACATCTATATATTTTATAAGACTTATCTTATCAGATGTCTTATTGGCGTCCCTCCTTGTTGGTGGATCACATTGTGCTGCTGCAGCAGGAGCGGAGGGGAAAAGGGGGCTTTTGGCGGAAAGATATATCAAAACACCACTCTCCTCTATTTTTGGACAAGACATGTGTTATTAAGGCTCTCCAGGAGTTGAAAGTGTTCATTCATGAAGGACAGATTCCGAAGGTACTCCCAGACATGAGGAAATTCAATATAACAGTGTATAATGTTGTTTACAATTCAGTATAAATCTGTGAATTATTGTTACACACATTAAAATGAAAACATATGATACAGAGAGTCATCTGGCTCTTGTCTCTTTAGCTCTAACTTCAATATCATAAATCAGATGGACCTAATGTTGAAGGAGAGAAGCAGCTGGATCCAGTCTGTTGCATGGCTTCTGTTCTATCTACACTGCAGTCTCTGAATGTATTGATTCTGGAAATGAAATCCACAAAGGCTGCTGGAATCCCCTCAGCACACTTATCAGCTTCTGCTACCATTTACTTCTAAGGAACTTGGCTCTCCAGTGCTGTCTGCTACTTTTATTATAAGTTTGTCTATGGGCTCATGCACTGTGTCCCAACCATGGCTTTTCCTTTTGTATTCATTTTCCACTGTTTTGTTGAGTAGATACTTCAAGAATGAATAGTGAGTTGTTCCTCAATTGTTTTCCAGATCTAGGAAACCCATTTTATTCCTTGGTGTTGTTGAATTTAGCTTTAGTAATGACAACTGACGATGAACTGAATTGATAGCACAGCTGATGGACAGTGTCTACAATTACTCTACAAGGCAAAAATCCAAACACTCTGTAGAACAAAGGTGACCAGCAGATATCCAATGGCCTCTGAGAGATGATGGTGTATCAGTAAAGGTCCATGTTCTACAAAGCCTTGAGACTGTGGGGCAGGTGACTGATACTGGGAAGCAAGTAAATATGGGACCAGTGAATACTGTCTGATCTCAGAACCAACCTCAATGACATGTACATACATGGATGTGATTAACAATTTGTGTGAAAATTAATGTGATAATATTCTTGAAAATTAAACTTGCTTGGCACTGCATTTTGATACGTATCTCACATCCTAAGAGACTGGAACATCTGCTGGACCACACAGACAGAGTTAAAGCTACCCATGATGCCATATAAAGTTACACCCTAGAGAAGAGATTTGTTTTCCCAGATTTTTTATTTGGAATTACTGAGCCAGTTTGTTTTTTAGTTGACTAAAAGCTATGCCAACAAAGGCCCCAGTCTCATAGAATCCAGAGATACTTTTGTCATAATACATAATGACACTTCTCACTTTTATTGTTTTATTAATGAAGAAAAGTGTCAATACAGGTGGCCCTGGTGAAGAGATTGTCAAGGTGTGGTGTACACTAAGCCATCCTATATCAGTATCACTTCATGCAGAGTTGTAATTTGGAGATGGTAGGACTGTGCGAAGTGACAGATGAATAGACACTCATATTGCTTATTTCTGAGCAACTCTCCAGGCTGATCTGTGTCATCTCAGCTTCCTGCTCCTCAAGGGTTTCTGACACACTCAGGATGTGTTTGCAACACTGTGTCTCTTGCACAGTAATAGACAGCAGAGTCCTCAGATGTCAGCTGCTGAGTTCCATGTAGGCTGTGCTGGAGGATGTGTCTGCAGTCAGCGTGGCCTTGCCCTTGAAATTCTGTGCATAGCCAGTATTTCCAGTATAAGGATTAAAATATCCAATCCACTCCAGGTCCTGTCCAGGCTTCTGCTTCACCCAGTGCATTACATGGTCAGTGAAGGTGTAGCCTCAAGTGTTGCAGGACATCTTCACTGAGGCCCCAGGCTTCAACATCTCAGGACCAGACTGCTGCAGCTGGACCTGGGAGTGGGCACCTGTGGAGAGAAAGGCAGAGTTCAGGCTCATTGTCACCTCAGTCCCTGTCTAGTCTTCATGTTTGGAACTGGAAAGTCCTTACCTGTAATTACTGACATGAGGAAGAGGATGATCCAGCTCCATCCCATGGTGAGGACCTGTGTGCTCAGTGACTGTGGAGAGGACACTGATCATATGTTGTTGGTAGGGTGGACATCCCTGTATTTACCAGCACAGATTTCATGATTTGCATATTCATGAGCAAAGAATTACTTTAAATAAGGACCTACTCAAGTTTGAGGAGATGGAGGACACTTGGGTCAGGAAAAGGATTCTGATGGCCAAATCCTAACGTTGTCTGAGGAAATGCATTCATTGTCTTAGCTCAGGGCTGTGCAGATGCTGTGGGTGAAACACCAGGACCTAAACTCTTGGTTGATTTCAGGCCTGAGAGACTTGCTCTGCTTTGTGACAAGGTTGTCAGATTTATTTAAAGATGGTTGTGATGATAATGGTGATGAATGGAAATTTCACAATATGATAAATTTTGAGAATTTACATGCTCCTTTCAGATGTATAAAATTAGTACTTGTCCTTCAAGTAGGCTACATACAAACACCTCACTGAATTGACCTAAAGGGAACATAACTCAGAAACATTTGTACATTGATATTTATTGCAGCACTGTCTACAATAAATTATTTACTTCATGTCTGTCAGCAGATGACTGCATCAAGAAGACACGGTTATATGTGAGACATAATGGGAATATTTCGTGTGAAAGATATGAAACTTATATCACCTTGAGGAAAATCAACATGACCTGAGATAACTGTATTAATCAAGATCATCTCTGAAACACAGATATTATATGAGACTCTATGTAGTTTTTATGTATTGAATAGGAACACAGAACTATGTATGCTAATTTCTAACAACTTATAAGTGAAACTGACCAGCAGAACACAGCATAAAGCTGATATTTGTTCTATGATTAAATTGGAGAATATCTGACATTGTCTCCATGAGATTCTAGGATCATCACACACATCATCATTGAAAGGAAAACATCCTGGAATGGATGATACAGAAGAAAAGTCATCACATTTGGGTGAAGGGGCCAGAGGGTCAGAGATGCAAGGACCGCTGGTTCCTGTTGCAGAGAAGGCAGGTGACAGACTCTTCTGAAGAGAAAACTTCATTTCTAACCAGGAACACTCATGTTGTGTTTCAGAGACTTGTTCATGGAGGACATAAAACTGTGGTGTTCTGTCTGAAATCTGTGATATGAGCTGCAGCAGATACAGACATTTTCCTAAGTTTTTCAGATGTACTTGAAGTACTTCTAGTTCCAAAGCAAAAACAAAAAAACAAACAAAAAGCATGAGGACAATCTGGGCGTTGGTGGCACACGCCTTTAATCCCAGCACTGGGGATGCAGAGGCAGGTGGATCTCTGTGAGTTCGAGGCCAGCTCTGGTCTCCAGAGCCAGTGCTAGGATAGGCTCCAAAGCTATACAGAGAAACCCTGTCCCAAAAAACAAAAAAACAAAACAAAACAAAAAACAAAAAACATGAGGACAAGTGTGGACTATGAAGGGCTAAAATTAAAATACAGGAATTTAATTCAACAAAACCTTATATAAATGTTGATTAACTATTCCTGCCAATAAGAGCTTTAAAATTACAAAAGTATTACTGTAACATTGTTTCAGAGTAACTCATGCACTCAGACCATTTCTCTGAACCACTTCATGACATTCAATATCCCAGACCTCAGATATAGTCAACTTGAGAGTCTATCTAATATATTTCCAATCAGTGCTGTAGGCATGTGTCAGTTTTCCTATTTATTATGTAACATGTGAGTGAAAATCACTTTAGAGAGAACATGCATTAGATAAATTGCAACTACCAATTCATTAACCCCTCAGAAATTCTCAAGCACTTGGACTGAAAATGACGGTACTGTTGTGTGATGCATGTGAGGAGAGCATGTTATATGTTGATGATGTGACTGGTGGGATTTAAGATCTGCACAGAGTTGAGCAGCAAGCAAACATGCATTTAGTTGATGTGTAAAGTCTTCTACCAGAGGCGGGATCTAATCTCATGAGGTGCAAACCTCATCCAGCCAAGGGAAAGAAAGTGAATGCCTCAGGAGAAATTATCAGCAATCTCCCCAGTAAGCTGAGGTTCTAAAACTCTAACAGTGGATAGGTGGTTCTTTGCCATATAATGAAAATCTGGAGTAAATCTGAACAGGAGGATGGGTGCAGTACACACACCTGGACATCACCCCAGACTGAAGGACACTAATCCCTTAAACATAAGGCTGGAAAGAGAAGAAGTTGCCCCCACCTGAGCTCCAGAGTGCTGTGAAGAGATAAAGATGGCCTCAAACCCAGGATGTTGGAGAGAACATTATCTAAATTCACAAGCTGGGTAGAGATATCTGTAAGTTGTGAAAACATCAGTTCTAAACTTTCAGGATCCTAAATGTTTAAATGGAAAATATGTAATTAATTTACTCTCTTCTCTTTTCCCAGTTCACACAAAAAAAACATGCATTAAGGTTTAGTATTCCAACTTTACCTAATAATCTTTCATTTTAGGGGAAACATTCACACAAAAATTATGCCATCTTCCCACCTTCTCTTTCTCTCCTTCCTCTGGACTGAGGGCTTCACAGGACAGTGGACGATGCCTTGTGACCAGGGCCTATCAGAAATGCCTGGGTTCAACACTGTGGGTGGAACATCAAGGCCTGAGATCCCAGGTCACAGTCATATACTCCAGCTGAGAAAACCCCTCCTGACAGTGGAAAGATGTTACAGATAGGTTTACAGAAGCTACTGCTGGTGGTTCTGATGACTACAAGTCATGTTTGAAAATTTCCATCATTCTTTGTGTATATGGAATTGATTTTATCTTCTCAATAAGGTTCATATGTAATGAATAAAATTTTTATGTGCAATATTCCTTAGCAAATACTTTTTATTCTACTAAGTTTGGAGGCTTGTTGCAGTAGCTACATCGCGTGTATCACGTGGTCTCTGCAGTTATTTGAGGTGAGGACAGGAAACCTTAGGGTCCCTGAGGACTCCCTCACTCTCCAGATGTTTTTCTCACCTACTACATTTTCTTTCCTGGTGAAAGTTGGGTCTACAGTGTGCCCTGCTGGTCCTGAGCATCCTCAGATTGAGGTTGTTCTGGGCACACAGGGATCCAGCTCACTGTGTCTGCTGCAGTGTAAGGCAGGGCTGTGTCTTCAGTGGGAGCAGAGCTCAGCTTCAGGGAGAACTGGTTCTTGTATGTGTCCACTCACACACTGAAGGACTTCTCAGTGACAGTTTCTACTGAGAATTGATCCTGATGAGAGAATTTGGGTTAAGAATTGGTCTCCGAATTCTTTTGGAAAAGAAAAATGTATAGTTGTTATTTTCTTTGTTTGTTCCTAAAAATTTAAGTTGGTTTCCAAAAATTACATACATGTTTATGGCACAAACCTTTGCTACCTTCCTCTTGTCATTGTCAAACCTCCTTTCTCCCTTAAGACCCTTCTATGTGTTCATTTAAATTTGATTTGTTATATGACCCATTAATTTTAATAAGGGAAGTCTAAGTAGTCCTGGTATTAAAACTAATGGAGCCTGGTGGATATACCATTAAGTATACATCTGAATATGATATCCTGTTCAAAAATATAAATGAAAATGAAAAATAAATATAATAAAAACAATACCCTGTTTACCCAGAATCTGGCAGGATTCATTAGTTCATGAGGGAGGTAGTAGGTAGTAGGTAATACTAAAATATAAAATTATTTTGTCTCTCCTTCATAACAGGAATTTTTCCACTATGATTCATAATGTAAATATCTTACATCCAGGACATCTGATATGTGGCCGCTGTAAAAGAGTCCTAGGACTCTGGGGAAGAGTTGTTCAGTTCCCAACTTGGTAGGCAGCCCCAGGTTGAAAATCACTGCTTTAGAAGAATATTTGTTTTTCCCATAAGCCCAAGGCCTACCTTGTGTCAGATTCCAGAACATTCTAGTAGTTTCAGGCATGGGCTACATTCACAGAGTGGGCTTTATATACAATCTCACCAGCAGGTCACCACTGTAGTTCACAGTGTGCTGTTAGGTTGATTCTCCTCTGAGAACAGGCCAAGTTCCTTCCACTGCTATGAACAGAAGTCAGTGGGGCTGAGGCCTGCAGTTAGGCACCAACTCAAATTCTGCATATTCTGTGAGATACGAGTTTTCTTCAGCAATAGGATGTCACCATCAGTTTGTGGAGAGCAACCAAATGCCTGAGGCCATAGCTTGAATTATCTTGTGGTTTCCATGGGGACACTTTGGTCAATGAGTCAATTCATAAATGCTTATCCAGAAATGTCAGTCTTCCTCATATCCAGCTGTTTACTAAAGGTGAATGTTACAATGATTTGGAATCTGCAGTTCTGGATTTTTGAGGCCAAAAACAGAGGGAACCACAGCCCTAAACCACCTGGATAAAGAACCAGACACCCCTAATCTTTACAAAACAAAACAAAACAGATTTTCATTTCTGAACAATATTTACAAGGGGCCACATTTGTATAACAGGGAACCAGGGATCTGAAAATCAGAGTGAACAGGAAACCCCACTGGCTAGCAGGAAATGTTTGCCCACTCCCAACCCCATGATTGTAGAAGGAAGACACAGAGCTGAGAATCAGCCTGAGATACTGTAGGGCTTTCATTCCAGGCTGTGTCTCTATGTTCTCTGAGCACAGTAGTATGTGGCAGTATCTGCAGTGTCCACACTGGCAATCTTGAGGGTTACCCGGTTGTTGGAGGTGTCCTTGGAGATTGTGAGCCGGCTCTTCAGGGATGGGTTGTACCTCTTAACATCATCCCACCAAATGTTTGCCAGCCACTCAAAACCCTTTCCTGAGGGCTGGCGGATCCAGCCCACACCCATACTAGAAGTCATCTGTGCTCAGTGAAAACCCAGAGAAAGAGCAGGTCAGACTGAGGTCCTGGGAAGTCTACAACAGCCCAGGGCCAGACTCCTTCAGGGTAACCTGGGACAGGACCTTTGTGGGAGAAAAGTAGTAGGTAAGATTGGCACAGAGTGAATTATGGGAGATCATGCAGCAGGAATCCATGGCACTCATATGCAGGCACAATCAGCAGCAGGAATGAGGAGGCAAACAGGGCCATGGCTGCACACCAGTGAGTGCCCAGCTTTGGCTTTTCAACCTATGCTTAGGTGGAGCCAGGAGAGTTTTACGTTCCCTCACCAGGAGCTGACTCTGAAGGAGGACATAAATTATGGGTCTCAGGAGGAGCCAATTTGTGATGAGATACACAGGATGCCTCAGGGGAGTTCATCTCTGCTCACCATAGACAGGAGCCCATATGAGAAGACCCAGGTCCTCAGTAGGCAATACATCTGATGAGAACTGTGTGAATTCAGCAATGGACAGTATGAGTATGTTCCATCTGCAGGCCTGCAGTTATGCAGTCTGTAATTGCATGGAAGAGAGTTGTATTTTATTGACTTTACTGATCTGTCAATCTCCTGTCTCTTATATTTGATATTCTATTCATTCAACACTGGCAGCTTCATGTTGATACTGCCATCTATTTCTGAAAACTTTAAAAACAGCAGCAACAGAAAACATAAACTGTAGCAGAGACATGGTCAGTTAGCTCAATTCTCTCAGATGTTGAGCGTCTTGGAGGAGGGAAAGAAGGAAAGAGAATGATGAAAATCACAGCTCACAGGATCTAAGGAATTCTTCACATGTTCAGTGATGTTAAACACAATGCATTCTGCTTTTTTTCTTTTGATGATTGATGTTTGAGGACCCAGAAAGAAAATGATTTGCTTGACATTCGACAACCTTTCCAGTGACTTTGTGATATGAACATGATTTAAAACATCGAAAGTAGCCTCAATGAAGTGATGATTGTGTTAAAGAATGCCATGTCAAATAATGTTTGATTTTATGAATACAAAGTCTTATTTAAGTCTTTAAAAGATAAAGCTATGAAGATGTATCTAAATCATGAATATAAACATACCACAAGGTTGCAGTAACATTGCCAAAAGAAACCAAGCCCATGATGCTGAGTGTGAGGTGAGTCACTGAACCCTTGTGGTAGGACAGGCATTATGAGATGCAGTAACACTTGGTTCCATTTCCAGGGTGTTTCAATGTTACAGTGATTTTCAGTCTATTATTAAATTGTGTGTTTTGAAACAGGAGACTATCTGACATTGCTTCCACAGAGTGGAATTGCTTGAGTTCTATTACTTAATAAATTACCTGTTATCAATCTAGATCTGACTCCACATTGCACTTGGCTTTACTTCACTGAACTGCTTCATACTTTTCAAAATTACAGACCTCAGATATGCTACCCTCACCCAAATCCTCCCACCCTAGGCCAACTCTTTTCTTATACACATACACTCCTGTTTATATCTTTCATTATAATGAGAAAGGAAACAGCAGCAATGATGATATAGAATAAGATTAAATAGAAACATCAAACTGGAGCAGGACTAAACAAACAAAGCAAAAGTTCCAAATCTAGACAGAATATCAAGTTTGCACACACAGAGATCCCACAAAACATAAAGAGAGGACCAAATTTCATATATATATCCTGTAGAATGAAAAAATCTGACAAGCATTATGAGATGAAGAATATCCAAAAACATCACTGAATTCATTTTCTGTCAGCCATCTCCTTCTAGGTATGTGACATTTCTTCAGAGTAGTTTATATACATAGTGAGACACCATCCAAGGAAAACATTTTGTCTTTGTGAGCAAGTTATCTGTTGGAGAGAGCTTCTGGCTTAGGACTGATGCCTGGTGTCCACTTCCCATCTTAACATTGGGACTCCATCAGGTTTAGACCTGGGAAGGCTCCGTGATGCTGCCAAAGAGTCTCAGGTGTTAGTATTCGGGCATCTGTACTGCCTGTCCTTAGGGTACCGTCAGGAAACACCCTCAGCTGCAGCCACTAAGAGCTCCACCTGTGCACATTCTCTGTGTTCCTCTACAGAGGGGCCCTTCCCACCTCCCATTCTTCTCTCTCTTTCTTTCACTCCCTCTCTCTATCTGATCCCCTCTCCCTCTCTACCCCTCTCATTTCCCCTCATCCTCTCTTCCCCCTCTTTTATGTCTCCCATCTTCTGCTACTCCTCTTTCCAGAGGCCTGATAACTTCCCTTTCCAATTTTTATGATCCCTTTCCTTAATTAAAACAAACCCTGTGCTGAACCCTGTGGCGTGGCGTGTTTCTCTCAGGGGCCACTTTTCTAACTGACAACATCAGTGAGTTCATATCATCATCAATCCTGTTGTGTCTGGAAAGCATTGTCTCCTTGGTGTCCTCCATTCCCTCAGGAATTCATCATCTGTGAGCATCCTCTTTTGCAGGGCTCCCTATGCCCTGTGGGAACAGTTTGGAAGGAGACATCACATTGAATGTTCCAGGATCTCCCATGCTCTGCACATTCTCCAGTCAGTCCCTGTATTTATGAATATTTCAGGAAGTTCTCTGATGATGGGTGATTTATGGATATTTGCAGAATGTTGTTGGTTGATTGCTAGCTCTTTAGGATAACAAAATACTTGTTTCTTTCTCTAGGTATCATTTGTCTAATCTTTGGTTCTTGGCCACCATAGTGTCAGGATTGGTTCTATCTCGTGGTGTAGACCTTAAATGTAATCTATATACTGGTTGGTTCATACCTCAAGTTTTTGGAAATTATTATATCTACATGTCCTGTAGCCATGTCAGGATTGTACATCTAAGGGTTTATAACCATTGTACCATATTTTCTTCTTCTGTTTTTCTACTGACATCATCTACAATGTTTTTATTTCTGCCTATTATGAATAGAATAGCAATGACTATGGCTGAGCAAGTGTCTCTAGTAAGATGTGGAGTCCTTTGGTTTTATAACCAAGGGTGGTGATTTTGGATGGTGGGATAGATCTATTCCCAGCCTCCTGTGGAAAAGCCACACTGATTCCCATATGGCTGTACACAGTGGGTTACTTTGCAGTCTGAGGTGTTTGGGCTTTAAAATGACTCCCCCAGCAGACACCAGATAAATCTTAAAGTCAAGTCTTTACAGCCACTAACAGATGCCTTCCTGGTACATCAGAGAATTCCATTGAGTTGGGGCCAGGAGTGGAAGAATCTCCTGCCTTCTGGTCACTCTCGGTGCCCCAGTTGGAGGAAGAGAGGAGAGTACTTTATACAATCATTGCTGTGTCAAGTAGTATTTTAAATTCAGCATGGATTTGCATAATCTCTAACATAGAATTGGTCTGGGCATTCATGTCTGCCACAAACCATAAAGCACATATTTCGCCTGTGTTAAGGACATGGAACTTGTACTTGTCATGGGGAGTGATGGGGGAGATCCTTCTGCATATATGTTTGTCTTATTGGTTGATAAATAAAGCACTGTTGGCCAATAGGGAAGCAAGTTAGGCGGGACTAGGAGAGAAGGAGGATTCTGGGAAACATTTTAAAAAGAGAGTCACGATGTGATCTCAGGAAGAGCAGACTCATAAGGCCAGCATCCTAGGTAAGATAAGTCCTTATAAAAATATATAGATTAGTAGTTATGGTTGATAACTAAGACTGAGAGAGCAAATAAGAAATCCTATCATTGGCTGGCAGCATTGTAACTAATATAAGTCTCTGTGTGTTATTTGGGGGTCCTGAGCAGCAGCAGAACCCAGGTAGCTGGCAGAAAGAGTTATCATTACTAGGAAGGGGATACAATATAGGGACATGCAAACTAATGTTATGAGATATGGGACATCACACTGAATGCAACATTTGAGATGACTAAGTACCCTTGGTCTCCATGCTTGTTACTCACACACTAGTGAAAACCAAATACTCCATAGCATGAGGATGAGGAGCTGGTGTCCAATGACTGTAGAGTTGATACCATAGCAATGTATGTCCATGTTTGTAGAGACTTGGTACTGTAGAGCTGGGTACTTGGAGTGGAAATGCAATAACTATGGCAGCTGAGACTAAGGTATAATATCAGAACCTGCCTCCAATATCATGCACATGCCTCCAGTTGATAAAAGTGACCTGTAAAAATAATTTAATAATACATGTGTCCAATTTATAGGAATCATACTAACAAGGCAGTGCATTCTGATGTAAATATGTCTTTCATTATAAGGTATGGGAACTTGTGCCGGGCCAAGGTATGGTCAGAGTCAACAACATACCTTGAAGTCACTGAAGACTTAAGACTATGAAAGGAGATTTTATTTGCACAGATTTGGAATTGACAGGTCAACTGTGTTATAATTTATTCTCTGCTCTTGCTCCAAAATTTTTCATCACTCAAAATTTGTATATATTGTCATCATAATACATCATCACAGTTTTGTACATTTATTGTTTTATTAAAGAAAAACTGTGTCAGTGAGTGTTGGTGGTGTACGCCTTTAATCCCAGCACTTGGGAGGCAGAGACAGACGGATCTCTGTGACTTCAAGGCCAGCCTTGTCTACAGCGTGAGTGCCAGGATAGACTGCAAAGCTACACAGAGAAACCGTGTCTCGAAAAAAACAAAAAATAAAAAATAAAAAACTGTGTCAGTGCAGGCAGTCACTGATGGAGGTTTCCTAAGGATATGGTGTACTCTTGAGGATTCTAATGAACACCACTTTATCCTTGGATGTCCTTTGAAAAGTTGACAAAAGTAATATATGCCTTTGAGGAGACAAACAAAGAGAAACTCTGATTGCTTATTTCTGAGCAAGTCCCCAGGCTGATCTTCTTTTTCATGTCAGTCCCAGGGCATTTTCCTGCTCCTCCAGGGTTTCTGACACACTCAGGATGTGGTTGTAACACTGTGTATAGCACAGTAATAGACAGCAGAGTCCTCAGATGTCAGGCTGCTGAGCTCCATGTAGGCTGTGCTGGAGGATGTGTCTGCAGTCAGTGTGGCCTTGCCCTGGAACTTTTGATTGTAGTCAGTATTATCATTTTCAGGATCAATATCTCCAACCAACTCTAGTCCCTGTCCAGGACTCTGCTTCACCCAGATAACATAGTAGTCAGTGAAGGTGATGCCAGAAGCTTTGCAGGACAACTTCACTGAGAAGCCAGGCTTCACCAGCTGAGGACCAGACTGCTGCAGCTCAACCTGGGAGTAGACACCTGTGGAGAAAACGCAGAGTGCATATCTTTGTCTCCTCAGTCCTTGTTGCTTCTTCAGCATTGGAACTGGAAATCCCCTTACCTGTGGTTAGTGACACAGAGAAGATGAAGATCCAGCTCCATCCCATGGTGAGGACCTGTGTGCTCAGTGACTGTTGAGAGGACACTGCTCATATGTTGTTGGTGGTGTGGACATCCCTGTATTTACCACTATAGACTCACATGATTTGCATATTCATGAGCAGGGTGCTTCTTAGATAAGAACCGAGTTCAGCTGGCGAAGAAGGAGGTGGAGGACACCAGGGTCAGGCATCAGGTGCTGAGGTCCAAATCCTCATCCTCTCTGAGGAAGCTGCAATTCCTGAGACCTGTTCAGACCCTGTGGATATGTCTTGAACTAAACCCTGTATTTAGAAATAGAATCCCAACCTCAGATACTTGGTACTCTTGGTTAAAATATTGGTTTCAGATGGGTTTAATAATTGTGGTTAGATATTTCAAAAGCTCCTCATTTGGCAGAATTTGTGTTATTCTTTAATGAGCTAACAATATTTGCTTTTCCAGCTTGTTACCACTGTGTGTTTCCTGTTTGTGTGTGTGTGTGTGTGTGTGTGTGTGTGTGTGTGTGTGTG